CATAGCCTGCACTCATCAGCCCCTACAACTCCGCCTTCCTGACATCCACTGATAGTTCGCAATGTGCAAGTGGTTTGCTGAGATATTTGGTCAGGGCCGAACGAAGCCCTCTGCCAGCAGCTCTTACTGCGCTACCGCAGCTACAGATGTCGGAGTTTTGGGCCTCAAACCTCTCATAGGTGACTACATTTCTGCGATCTTCCACATCGAGGCGGCACACCAGGTAGCTTACAGTGTGGCGTTGTACTCTTTGTCTGGCGATAAGTCGCGCTCGTGCACAGCACCATAGGCCATCCGTTTCTCCAGCCTACCGCCGGCTTCCAGCATGTCGGCTACTCCACTCGGAGCATGGGCCCGAATAGCGAAGGGTAGATGCTGTTGAGACAGCCAGTGACACAGATTTCATGCGTCGGCGCTGGCTCTCCTTGGCAGGCACTGCAGAGGTTGCCAGTTTCGATGTTGACGGCTCGTTGAACGGCTCGACGTTAACCACTCATTCTCGGTGTGGTGCTCCTCGTGAGCAGACTCGGACTCGTCTAGCTCCTCCATTTGACAGCTTGGAGAAGTTGTGACCAATAGCTGAGAAGCAAGGAACTAGATGTTAAAAAGCCATGTAACCTATAACGGTGGTGAGTGTTCCCTCTGCCTATACATATGCCTGTGTCTATGTTTTTGCTAGTTGGCCTTTCTCTGAGCCAGCGATGTTTGACGCCGAGCCGGGGGGGGGGGGGGGGGGGGGGGCGGGGAGGGATGATTGGACCTATTGTGACCATGTCCCGCCTATGTCCATATGAGACGGTGTCACGACATTAGTGCTACGGCAGGGACTCATACCGACAGGAGTGCTATGAGATCAGTTACACGCGACATTACTCCTGCTGCAAAAAACACTTGTGCAGATTTGACTGAAACACGATACTTCTTCAGCAAAGTTTTTTTTTGCTTTGAAGGGTTTTGAAAAAAACACACTTCAGGTTTTTTGAAGGTGCCTCTCCAGCAGGTTGTACAATTGCGCTCAAATTTTCAGTAGCCTATGGGGTATCAATTGCACATGTTTTTACTCAAAGAAACGTGTTGCTGGTTTTTCTGGTTTCGGAGCAGCGGCGCTTTTTTAGGGAACACTGCACGACGCTCCACTGCGGGCGACAACTTACGATGCCGCGGAACGCGCGCGGATAGCCGACATTGTTGCGTTAATAGGGCCATATCTCATAAATATATGCTTAAAACCCACAAAAATACACACTTTTCTTCTCATAATTGAACTAGAAACACGCCTGTTTAGATTTCGGTTTGAGTCTCGTGTCTCAACAAGCGCGTGCGTTTTGGTCATCACGCGGCACAGGGTGCGTTTAGGTCCTCCTAAGTGCGTGTTGGTCCTCTGAGGTTAGGTTAGGTTAGATTAGGTTAGGTTAGGTTTGGTTAGGTTTGGTTAGGTTTGGTTAGGTTTGGTTAGGTTTGGTAAGGTTAGGTCAAATAACGAGAGTTCGCAGGCTTCATTTGACTCGTGACGTCATTTGTTCTTGAGTTGTTCAGCAAAAAAAAAAACAGCATGCTGCCATTGCGCATTGTTTATAGTGTCGCCGCGACGTCGCCCGGCGATTTTTACTGTTGTGCGTTCGTGGTGTTTGAAGTAAATACCCACGATCAAATCTTGTTGTGATAATTACTTAGGACTTTTGCGATCTGTGTACCCCTGATTCTTCCATGCCTCATTTTCAGAAATAGATATTGTTATGATAGGCCATATTCTGACGGGCCTTGCTAGTGGATAATCTAATATCAGGAACTTCAATGGACAAATGAGTTATTAGGGTTAGCAGAAGCTAACAACACACACACAAGTTGTTAGCTTTAGCACAACACATTTAGCCAGATATTGTTATTTGCTCTCGCAGCAGATGGGAAATGTACTGATGAATATGGCCAGGAATATGAAGGGATCCACAACCATCTGAGGAGGAAGGAGGGTATCATATTTGTCTTCCCTCCTCTTAGCTCAAATGGGGAAAAGCAGGCATGATCAGAGCCAATCATCATCCAAGGACTTGATGCCCTTAGTATGCTGTAATACTTCCCTGGACCAAAAGCCAGATGCTTAGGCTTTGTCACTTTAAACATGCTAAATCATTTTCCCTTTACCTTGCAGCAAATAGAATAGATTTCCCAGCAGGATGTGAACTGCTGAGGGTTGTGTTCATTGGGAAAAGTTATGACAATTCATTTAATTACCATGTGATGTGAAGCAAAATCAACATGATAGGAACCTATCTTCATGGCACTTTGTTTAACCTCATTTATGTACCATCAAGTATTTCATCTTCCTGCCATGGGTTGTGATAGAAATCTGGTGGGGTCACTGGCCCAACAGGAACATAACACCCAATCCATGTTCTTTTATCATGCTTCCATTTGCACCTGGTTCATTGCTGTTCTAAGTGTTCATGATATGTTTTGGTAGATAATATTCTGGCATGGCTGATGTTTTTGCAGGCGAACATTTTTATACAGCACATTGCACAGTTGAAGAATGGCTTCCAAGACAAAACGTGGATTGTTCATGAGCGACGAGTACTGGAATGAGACAGAGAAGAAGATCACTCCCTTTGACTTCGATGAAGACACAGATGGCAATGCTTTCATGAAAAGTGTAAGGATAATAATCTTAGATTGAGTTTGTTTATTATCAAAAACTTTGTTAGGGTGCAGATGTATCTTTTGATTCACCACTCCCATTGTTTTACTTGGAATTGCAAACATGCTGCCATCATTTGAAGTGGACAAATGCATGTCATTGACTCATTCCTTTGTCATCTGCAGTATGCCAGTTTTGCTGATTCTATAAAGCATAACCAATGGATTTTATTGCAATACATTTGCCATTTTATGCTTAAGGTGAACTAATACTAATTCCCACATTTCAGTTCAAGGAAATGAAACTCCATCCAGAACATGAGGAAGAAGAAGAAATCATTGGATGGGATGGCAGATGTATAAGTGGTAGGTGGACCATGACCTAGTTCTATCCAGTGTTGAAACATTTTGTAATGTTTCATCCAGTTTGAGTAATTTATATTCACAAATAATTTGTCATGTCAACTAGTTGCAACTTTGGTCAAAGCTTCATTGCTTGAGGCATGCACATGCTTCATCATCATTAATGATGATAATTTGGCATCTCATGTGCTTGGGCTGATCACCTACTTCATGTCCATAGGCAGATGGATAGGGTCACACAGATCAAACCAATGTGTAACATATGCTGATAGTGCACCCAAAACAGCGCTCACACCATTTGCTCATTATGGCAATTGGCGACATACTATGATAAAGGCAGGCTGGCTTTGTTTGATATTTGGTAATATTGCATGGTGCATTTAGATATTTTGGTAAAGCTGGTCATTTAGTTGTTAAACTGAGATTGCTTTGCTGGGGCAGTGATACACTGCTTTCATTTATGTAACCAGTTCTCTGATTAGACCACTGCTGACCACTGCTCAGGAGCAAAGAATCACTGAAAAACTGCAAACAAGATCAAGTCTGTATCCTATGGATGACTCAGATAAGAATGCAAGGGCTTGATATTGAGATGATGTCCAAATTTAGAAGAGACATGTCATCAAATGATAGCAGCATTGGAAGACCACGGCCACACTAGACAGTTCAATATATTGCATGATATTGATAAAGGATTGCTCATGTCAGTGATCTCACTTGCATTTTAATGTTTCTGCACCGTTGACTGCCGGATCTGGCACCCACGAGTCTGTCCCGTCTGCCGCGTGAGCGATGCGTCTGCCCCACCTGTCGTCTGCCCTCCACCCCCGGTGTGTCCGCCTCGCTCCCGAGCCCAGCGGCTGACCGCGACCTGACGTGGGCAGCGTCCGGCCCGGCGCCGACCTCGCCGTCGTCGCTGACCTCGTCGCTGACGTCGCTGTCGTCGTGTTCCGCGTCGGGACCGACCCAGGCCCCGCCGCGGTCGGCGTCCGACGGCCCGGCGCCGCGCTCCGGACCGTCCTCTGGCGACGCCAGGAGTCTGACCGACGGTGGGTGATCCGCCAGACCGGCGGCCGGCCGGCAAGCCCGGCACTGGCACGCTAAGTGTGCCGCTGCAACCGGTGGAAATAATATAAAAGGATGGTTTGTGAGTTTCGATGCTCGACGTGATATCTGTGGTGATAATCAAGGGGGGGGGCTGGTGTTGTATATATAGCTATATGGCGGTGGGGTGTGGTGCTGCTGGCGATTCCAGGCTGGTGCTATCCGCATGAAAGCATCATACTGCCTTCAATGCCTTTTTAAGACGTGCAATATCTCCACTCCTGCCTCTCCAAGACTTTATCCCGCGCGTTGTCGAATTGATCGTCTGTTGCGTGCGTTGTTCCCATCCGCCTTGCCTGCCGGCCTATTTGCAGGACTGCGACGACTTTGCTCTCCCCGCCCCTTCTCGCCCCGTGCAGTTCTGAGCCCTCGTCCCCGGACGCCGGAGCCGCCCAGGCAACAGCGAGGTAACCCTCCCAGTACCTCCCCCGTCCACCAGTCCCATCAAGGTGGCTCTTCCAATGCCCCCCCCCCCCCCCCCCCCCCACCTCACCCACCGTGGAGGTTCTTCCCACCTGACCCTCCTCGCGGTGCTCCTCTGTGTTCCGTGACTGTCGGAGTAATCCAACCACTCTCCTGTCTTCCCATCCACACTGAGGGGACATGTCCCTCAGCTATTTGACCCTCCCCTGTCGCTCCTCACTGGCACAGCAGACGACCATGTCACTGTCCTCCGAATCGGTAGAGATGGCCTGTGCCTCGTCTGCGACCCTGCCGTGTCCTCCGTAGCCAGCGGAGCGGTGACCCGTGGCCTGTGACGGCGCCGGCAGCGCTGACCCGGGCGTCGCCGCCGGCGCGGAGTGCCACCGAGCTGGCCGACGAGGTGGCGTTCCTGCGGCGCCGGCTGGCCGAGGCGAGACTGGCCGCGCCGCCGCCGGCCGACACGGCGCGCCGCCTGGCGCTCGGCGAGTCCTGCCCGCTCGAGCTGTACCGCTCGCTCGCCGAGAAGCGCCAGCTGCTGGCCGAGGCGACCCGGCTCGGCGACGGAGACGCCGTCCTGGCGGTGGGTGGTTCCGCCCGGCCTGGGCAGAGGGCGCCGGCGGCGACTGCTGTAGTGTCTGCAGCGTGCATTTGTCTTGTGCGGTGTTTTCTAAACTCTTGAGCGGTCTTCTATTGGCTGTTATCGGCAATTGGCCTTAAGGTCGTTATCGGCACTGCCTCGAGCGGATAATACCGATCCAAGACCGTGCGAATCGATTTGACGAGTACTTCTGCAAGGCCCCGGGCAACGACAGATAATCAGAAGTTGTAATTTACGCCTTTGATGGACCTGTCATGGCGCCGGCAGTGTCCGCCTTCTGCAGCACGTGTACACTAGGCTTGTCACACTTCTGTTGCCCATTGTTAAGTGGAAATATATGTATCGGCAACAGTTTGACCATGACCCAGTGTGTGCCACTGCGTGGCGAGGCGCGGTCTGTGGTGGCGATGCCGACTGACCTGACCTGACGGCACGTCCTGTGGCAGGTGGTGCTGTTCCTGAAGCGCAGTCTGAAGCGCTCGCTGTTCCAGCGCGAGCTGCTCCTGCAGCCGACCGCCGCCCAGCAGTACTTGGCCTACCTGCGCGCCCGCTTCTGTTACAGCGACGCCATCGATCTGCTGGCGATGCTCGGCAGGACCGAGGAAGCGGCGGTGCGTGACAGACTGACCCGACCTGACCTGAGCTAACCCGGGTTGACGTTGCGTGGACGGGATGGGAAGTGATGTCAACGGATGCCAAAACTCGCTGCTGGCAGCTGTCGTGGGAGGGGCTTTCGAGGAGTGTGTAGCATTAATGCACTAGCGGGTTCGTTCCGAATGGTTCATGTGCATTTATTATTCGGGTTACTTGCTGAGAAGTGTGCGCTATGAAGCTGAAGAGTTACACATTCGTTAGTCGTTACCAGTCATTGCAGTCGTTGACAATTTTGAGATGACGGTCGCTAGCCCAGACTACGTATCAAGAAGCTGCTTGCACCGTGACTCCACCCAGATGATGCCACTGCATTCCAGTGGATGATGTTGCTCCAGACTCTTCGCCAGGCGTGATCGCTGAGGGAATATCGTCTGTTGCCTTACCTTGTTGTGTCATGACTGCGCTGTGCCGTCGCTGGTTAGCTGGCGGCTACACGCTGCGTGTATGGTGGGGGCGGTCAGATGGCTCCGTCGGGGATTCGAACCTACGTCCCGCTGACTAACAGTCCTGCACTCCATCGCCCCAGCTACAGCACCCCTTCCAGTTCCCTTCACCGTCGTACTTAAATGGGTGTGAGGTACACGACCGCCTTGACGACACCCGTGTGTGGATGCACTGCGATACGCTGCGTAAGTATTCACCGTTGTTCCACCCCCACCTTCTCCAGCTTTTGTCCAACATATTCGGTCTGGGCTTTGCTGTCAGATGTTGAAGTACGAGTCTGCCGTGAGGACGAATGGCGTGGATAAGCGGCTGCGGAGCCTGAAGAACTGCCTGCAGACGCATTTCTCGTCCGATCCGGACCTGGAGATGCACGCCAATCTCATCAAGCAGCAAATCGATCTTCTCGGTGTGTGGCCACTGCTGTCCCGCGCGGCCGGGAAATGGGCTGAAACTCATTACTAAGTTTTCATACAGGCGTACAGTACCTTTGTCGTGCTTAAGATTTTGCTGCTGGGGCATTGCCCTGTTAGTCAAAGTATTGCTTGTATGAATTTATTAGTTAAGATAACAAACGTGCAAAATTTGTATTATGTTAATTTATATCAGGGCAACAAATATGATTAATATTATATTTATATAATACGCGCATCAATATCACGTTCCCAGCTTATACATCTCCCACTGATGTTACATAACTGAGTAACGTTATATGCCTACCGTGTGTCGCTGTGTCGGCCAGAGCGGCAGCGTCCGGTGGACGCCGCCGACGCTGCGGTGCCCGGTGTTCAGCTGGTGGGCAGCTCTGTCCTCACCACCCTGCACTACTGCTGCGTCCATCACTACGGCGAGGTGGGCTGACCTGGCGGGGGCCTTGGCGCCGCACGCATGTATTGATCGTGTTTGCGTGGGATGTGTTTGTCAGAACGGCGCCAGCAACCGCACGTGTTTCTCGTAATGCCCGTAGGCGCTTTAAATAGTGCTTTCCGTAACGCGGTCCGGGCCACCGGATTTCTCAAGTACAAGTGTTGGAAGTGTTTCTCCATCGTAATTAGTGTTCACTGGTGCATACTTTCAGTAGGTGACCATAACTGGCGCCTTTTTGCAGTAGGCGTCCATAACCATCGTCCATTTGGCAGCCGGTCAACCATCTGGCCAGTCCGCTGGCCATCAAGGAACGGCACCAGCTGACCGACAAACAGTACGCGTGGACGGTCCTGAAGGCGCGCGCGTCGCAGAGGGCGTGGGCTGACATCCAGGCCTTATTCACGAGCAAGGTAGCTAGCGGCGCTCGCGCTGCTCCCGCGGTCCGTCCTCAAGCTTATGGACTCAGCCAGTGCGTGTGCCGCTGCATTTTAGGGTCATGGCCTTTGGCTCGCTCGAGGAGAGTATTCCTCTTGGATATCCTGGTGCCGGGTCAAGATGGAGGGGGGGGGGAGGGGGCACTGCATATTATGTCTATGTAATATGTATAAGAGGAGCATCGTTCAGGGGTCGTGCGTACGTGACTCACGACCCATTTTTAAGCGCACTCCTGTTTGTGTGTGTGCGTGGCGTGATGGCAAACGAGTTAACGTGGTTTGATTTAGTTTGGTTAGAGGTTTTTTCGAGGAATAAGCACCATTCCAGGGCTGTGCAATAAGGGATAGAGGCGAGCGATGGTACAGCGCCGCAGCCACGCGGGCCGTCGTCTGAGTCTTCTCTGAGGCTTGTGCGGGTGCTCGAACGTGGTTCGGCCAGGCCGGCCGCGTAGCCGCCTCGTGGCTGGCAGCCCCAGCATGCCCCCAGCGAAGAGGGCCGTGCGACGAGCTAAGATGATCCGGGAAACGGGTGGAGTATGATGTGCTTGTTATTAGTCTGTAATAATCCGGAAATGTCAACGTGGCCGAATGTAGCAACTGAATCGCGTCCTGGGGCTAAATCATGATTGACTATACTAATGTACCCAATCTGGAGGATGTACTGCTTTGTTATGTATCCTTACTTGTGGTTGGGGTCGCGCCACTTGAGCCACGGTCCTGACGGCCCGGCGCTGTCCGCCGGCCAGGTGTGGTTCAGCAGCGGCAAGCTGCGCCCCGTGGTGCCCTTCGAGAACGCCGTGGAGGTGCTGGAGAGCTTCGGGGCGCCTGCCGAGGTCTTGAGCTTGTACATCTCGTCGATAGATGGCTCTGAGAAGAGGATCGCGCTGGCGAAGAAATACGGATGCTTCAAAATTGTTGTGGATGTAAGCGGTCTGTTATGTATGCCATACAGTCGGAGAGTCGCTTGCTCTAAGTGCAGGTCTGTGACAGCATACCCTACCAGCCCGCTGTCGTCTGATATCATTGGTATTCTCTTCGAGTGGTTGCATCTTTGGTCGTGTTTAATGTTTGCAACCTGCACTGATCTGTGATCTGATCTGTGCCACGTGATGGTGACCTGCGCCGGTGCCCACCGGTATCAGAGCCCCGCCGTTACATTGAGGTCGTTATGCACGCGCTCTTTGCTTGCGGTGCACTAACTGGCACCCGGCCAACTGAGCTGGCCTATGCGTGTTGCGAACCCGTGTGGAAGGCAGCTGGCCACCGTTTGATAGGAATTGGGTACCATGGCTGTATCCAGGATTCCATGGCCATGACAGACTCATCCGCCACTATAGCCTGAGGTCGCCGTCTGACCTTGACTGGCGTGTGACCGGTGTTATCCGGCCGAGGTCGTGCTCTGGTGCCGCCGCGCGCTCCCGGGCTGACCCTCCACTTCCCGCCGGGCAGACGTACGTGGCCCAGAAGGACCGACTGGCGCTGCAGCAGTATCGGGCCGCCCTGCAGCCGCACGACCCGGCTCACCGGTACGCCGGCGACGCTCTCGCGGCCGCGGTGAGTCACCGCCCGCGGCGGCGGCGGCCCCGCGCCGCGTCAGACGGACCCCGGGACCGGAGGGTCATGGAGGTTATCAAGGTCACAGGGGGCGGTCGGGGCGGGCCCTCTGAGAGGCGGAGAACCCGCGGCGGTACGGAGAAGCGCAGCCGTGGTTTCGTTGTCTCCTACGCGACCTGGGCGCCAGCGGGTTATCTGCTGTAGAGCTTTTCGAGGCGACCATCAGCGGATCTATCCTGGCCCTGAACGAGTCATGATGATGACTGATGCACCCCATATCATTGAGAGATGACGTCAACACAGCACCACCTCACTTCGCTGTGATCGCCAGATTTCGATATTAATTGCCTCCTTGTTTCTGTAATGGCAACACAGAGCCCCTTTCCTAGGGTATCCTTCATTATGTTCATCCCAGGGTATCCTGCATTGCGTTCATCCCAGGGTATCTTTCATTGTGTTCGCTGCATTTCGATTTTTCGTTGCTTCGGTGTTCCCGGTGTATGAGGCAGAGAACACTCACAGTCCGAACACACGCCATCGGCGACCATCAGTACAAACTGTGCCCCCCCCCCCTCAATTTAGCAGCGCTGACGCTTAACTGTCCCACTAGTACAACAAATCTACTACAGCCGTCTTTTCTGGTTGCTTGGTTACTGCAGCGATTCCCCGTCTCGATTAGCTCATTTGACATGGCGCCGGATTCACAAGTAAAAGACCCTGGTTCGAATCCCCGTAATTCCAAGGAAAGAATTCGGGGTGTGTCGCGCACACAAAAACCAAGTTTGGCAAAAGTTAAGTTCTTCTCAGGATTCCATCACACATGGGGACAGTCGGAAAATAAGCTGGTGGAAACACTTTGTACATTAAAACATATCAGACGTGGATGATAGCGCGAAAAATTATTCCATATTGTCGTTTGTTTTGCCGGTGCTTTTAATGCTTTAACGCTTTCATTCAACGTGAATAATGCAGGCTTAAACTCAACTGCACAACTACATAACTGCATTGTTCTCGAAGGACGGAAATTGAATTGATTATGGATGAAGTTCGCAAGATGATGGGATTAAGTCCACCTGCACAAAATCACGAAGCCGCAGACCCTCAGCGCGCGTCCAAACGCCACCACTATTCCACCACAAAGGGGGGGGGGGAGAACTTCTGCTCAAGGTCGCGACTGTAACTCGCCTGAACGAAGCGAGTCGCACGGACACCAGATAGCCAGCTGGGTGACGTGACGCAACCCGACAAATGACGTCAAGACATATTACAGTAATTGATATTAAAGAAAGGAAAACCCTAGAATAAGTTACAATGTTTACACAGCATAACCAATATTTATTTATTATTTTGGTGAGCCAGGCACGATGCAGGTCATCGGAATGTGTTGTTGCGTCTTGTCATTAGGATGTGTTGTTGCCTGTTGTCATCGGAATGTGTTATGTTGTGTTGCTATCGGAACGTGTTGTGCTGTGGTGCTCATACGACGGTGCAGGCGTGCACAGCCGTGCAGGAGGCCAGGGAAGGGCGCTCAACAAGTAACAACGTTTGGCGTTACTGGTTTCTGAATCGCTTGGGATGTATTGCTTGCACAGGTGTACTAAGTACCGATCTCTCATCGCAGACTGTACGCTGGAAAAACTGAGGATCTGCTGAACTCCCGTCACTCATGGAGAGGACCAATAAGGAACTGTGATTCACCCGATGCGGTGTGCAATGGTGCAGTCGCGAATAGATGGTGCACATTTACTGTGTGGTTCGCCATGAGACTGTTCCGTTCAGTCGGTCGGTCTGGAACGCAGCCAATTACCATGTTAATGCCCGTAAGCGCATTTTGCGGTGCGGTGCTGTCGCCGTCTGTTCCTCTGAGTCAGATGCCAGTGACGCGGATTTATATTACCGTTTTCGTAAATAGAGCATTGAGCCATGTAGGACGGCCACCTTACTGCTCCCGGAGAACTCAATATGTGCATTGCGGGTTACATGAAGCCATCCGGTGACATCCTGCTTGGGGCAGGCTTGGGTGTAATACGTTTCCGATGCTAGTTGATGGTGTGTGTCCTGAGAACTATCTTATTTTGTTATGGGTTTACGAGTGCCAGCGCTGTTCACATAAGAGCTGCAATAGACGTTCCAAATGCTCTGTTGATTTGTAACAGCGGTGGAAAACGCCCTTTGCCGCCCATGAGCAGGATTTCTGACCGGCGGTCACCTCAGCCCACGGCACCGCGGACGGCACTGAGCAAGGGTGTCGTCAACAAGGGTCAAGACCGGCTCCGGAGAGGGCGCTGCCCGCTGTGAGAGGCGCCGGCACAGGCGTCCTCCGGCCCGCTCCACCGGCGGAACCGGGCCGGTGCCAGCGGCCGGTCGAGGGCTCCATCTGCGACGACCGCGGTAGCGGGGGCTCTGGCCGGTCTGGGGAGCGTCTCTGGGGTCCCAAGCGGTCATGGTTTGACAGGCTGGCGTCTCTGAACCAGGCGACGCGGACCTTTGCGACAAGGACCGCCGCTTGTGGCGCTCACTGGCACTTCAGTCGCCGCGTCGGTGACAGGTCGCTAGGCGCCGCTCGCTCACCAACAGACGCCGAACGGTCTTTGGTGACTGGGGCACTAACAAATGGAAACCACGGGTCCATGCGCGACTGATTGACGTGTGTCTTACGCCGTTCACACCCTTACCACAGGCACATGATCCCCGCGTGCACCCAGTGCCGCTCAAATTGATAATGAACTCCACCCGCGTAAGTTGTGTGCATCGGAGCTTGGCGCGTGTATCCGCGTCACTCAAGACAAGACCAGGGACTTCACTTGTTATTCCAAGCAGACGAAGTGGAATCAGAGCAGTAACAAAGCGGAACATCTGTATTCGCACAGTGAGCCCGCAGCAACTGCGCTCCCGGTCCCCAAGCAAGGCCGCTTTCACGGTCAGCACTGAGACTGGCGACACAGCGAGGTGCGAAATGTTTCCGGCGTTCGATCAATCCGGTGTTTCGCGTACTTTGACCCGACGCGAGCTCATCGCGTTTTCCCCACCCGCGCCGCACCCTGGCCCATTTCCGAGCGGCAGCAGTCACAGCCGCCCCTGGCCGTGTATGTTGCGCACGTGGATCTTCTTGGAGCCCTTCTCGCCGAACACGCGACCGCAGATGTGGCAAGTGGTCTCGCCGCGGTGCAGCGCCAGGTGGTTCCGGTACGTGGAGGCGGCACGGAAGGTGCGACCGCACACGTGACACCGGTGCGCCAGGCCCTCGGACCCTGCAACACAGCACATGAGCGCACGAGGTCAGTCGCTGCAGCACGCCAGCGTAGACGAGGCTTAGCTGGGGACATGCATGCGTCATGGTGGACGTATTTGGATATCAAGGTGGCCGCTTTGGGTGGTTTCGTACTGGCGCTTGCTTACGTGTGCTGGCCTTGCAAAGCTTGTGCGGAGGTGGTTGATTATTTGGATTGGAGCCCCTCTGACCAGTGCTGCTCATTTCAGGGCTTAGAGGCATAGGCTCATTATGGCATAGAGGAGAATGGATAGCAGTGGAACAGAACTACATGCACCTGGGGACCCAACCGCCGAGACCAAGCCCGCACAGAGACCCCTCTGCGGGGTGTGCGCACTGGGACGCGGACCCACTAGGGGCCTCTCGGCTCACTCGTGACTGACGCACGCAGCCTGCCCGGACAAGCGGGACGTCGCGAGGATGCAGGATAAAGCAGGAAAGAGGATAAGAGGGGCGGATCTTAGCAGAACTGTGCCTTACTTAAAACAGCTCCGGGAGGTCAGCGACAAACGTGGTGCGTGGTAGCCCGGAGTAAGACGCAAGAACACAATGCTGTATGCATTCAAGGAGTAATTACATCGCGCCTTAAACCTTTCGAGGAGTAAAATGAGCCAACACTTGACCGAAAACCTCAGATGCCAACCAACAAGTGGGGCTGAGAATAGCGCAGATTGGAGGCCGGTTTGAAAGCCATTCCCAGGGGTGATCTCCGAGCTCTTTACAAAACAGATAGACCGTGCATTACTTGCAGCGCAAGGGGTCACGCCGCAAAGCCATCACGTCTCAGCGCGCATCTCTCAGCGTAAAAAGGCGAGGCCAACGAGTCGCCGCTGAGCCGGTGAAGTCGCACCGCAAAAGCCGCCGCGGTCCCGGCGCCCTTCACATCCGCACGCCGTGGACGACGGCCATGTGTTTCTTCAGGTGGCCCTTGTGACTGAGGACCTTCAGACAGAGTCGGCAGACGGTCTCGCCTCGGTGGACGGCCTTGTGGCCGCGGAAGGTGGACGGCGCGTGGAACACCCTGCCACATTCCTCGCACTTGGCTTCGAACGGCGGCCACGCCCCTGCAAGGGCCGGTAGGGTCAGTGACGGCTCAGGGGCAGAGAGCCGGGCCAGTTAGGCTCAGGGCCAGAAAGTGACGGTTCAGTGACGGTTCAGGTGCTAGTGACGGTTCAGGGACAAAGAGCCGGGTCAGTGACGGGTCTGGGACAGAGAGACGGGCTAGTAACGGTTCAGGGGCAGAGAGGCGGGTCTGGTCAGTGACGTCAGGTCAGGTCAGGTCAGGTCAGTGACGGGTCTGGGACAGAGGGACGGGCTAGTGACGGTTCAGAGGCAGAGAGCCGGGTCAGTGACGGTTCTGGGACGCAGAGACGGGCTAGTAACGGTTCAGAGGCAGAGAGACGGGTCAGTGACGGTTCTGGGACAGAAAGACGGGCTAGAAGCGGTTCAGGGGCAGAGAGACGGGTCAGCGACGGTTCTGGGGCAGAGAGCCGGTCTAGTGACGGTTCTAGGACAGAGAGCCGGGCTAGTGACGGTTCTGGGACAGAGAGCCGGGTTAATAATGGCTCAGGGGCAGAGAGACGGGTCAGCGACGGTTCTGGGGCAGAGAGACGGACTAGTGACGGTTCTAGGACAGATAGCCGGGCTAGTGACGGTTCTAGGGCAGAGAGACGGGTCAGCGACGGTTCTGGGACAGAGAGCCGGGCTAGTGACGGTTCAAGGACAGAGTGCCGGGATAGTGACGGGTCTGTGACAGAGAGCCGGGCTAGTGACGGTTCTAGGACAGAGGGCTGGGCTAGTGACGGTTCTGGGACAGCGAGCCGGGCTAGTGACGGTTCTGGGACAGAGGGCCGGGCTAGTGGACAGTTCTGGGACAGAGAACCGGGCAAGCGACGTTCGGGGACAGAGAGCCGGGTTAGTAATGGCTCAGGGGCAGAGAGCCGGACTAACGACGTTTCAGGGACATAGGGCCCAATGAGTGGCGGTTGCAGGGACGAATAACGGACTAGTCAAGGCCGCTGGTACGAAGGGTCAGTCATTGACGGACGCATGGGCACATGGCCAGGCACTAACGGGCCGAGGTACCGGGGTCGCCGCAGGGCACCGTCGCAGGTCGGCGAGTCAGCGTGACAGAGGGCTAGATCAAAACTGACAGCGCCGCCTCGAGGCGCTGAGTCGCCTCAGGGGTTGACAGTCCACTCGAGGCTGGACAGCTGGACATGTGTGTCTGGATATCACGTCGGTCGACGCTTAGGCGGTTTTTTTTTTTGGTAATTGCGGTCAGACACGGATGCTTGCAAACTTACCAAAGTAAGACAGCATGATGGCTTGATTTTTGACAGTGCAAGCATAAGCATTGAGTGAGGGCATGTGCGTATCTTTCAGCCAGTCACCGCCCAAAATATATTGCGTTTGATATAAAAAATATGTTCCTAGCCAGACCTAACGAGGATGAAATGCAACAAAACAAAGCAACGAATGAACAAAATGGAGCAATCAAATGCAGAAGTGTGAACCCGGGAAGCCCATAGGAACTGTGTAATAATTGCCCCTGCCGACTATACTGAAGGTGATGTACTGAAAGTTATTAATCTCGCAATATTGACAATAACAAACCGCTACGCCTCCTGACTTCGCATCGAGCTTACGACAGCACGTGGCTTTTGCAGTATGTCGTTTTGGGGGTCTAAGTCTATCCAACAACCGGATGAGGTTCAACATTACATCACGTGTTCTCGGGAAGGCAATTGCATATCGAACGAACACCTTTGGATGTTCATACAGAGCGAGAAGTCGAAGTGCAGCTTCCAATGGAACGAGCATATTTGTCTCGGGTTCTGCTAGCTCATGAAGCCTCGTTGACAATTGGTTAAAGGAAGTGTTCGACATTTGTGTGGGGTTTTGAACTGGAGTAGCCATCTTGCAGACCTTTCGGCGCTGTTTACTGCTGCCCTTCGTAAAACCTAAGCCCCTCAAGTTTCTGAGCTAAACGCCCGCGCAAATTGTGGAGGGTATATCTAGGAGAGTATTTCAGTCACCTTGGCATTCATGACGTCATAATAACGTCGCTCAAACCCTGTCATTTCGTACGCCACGCGGCGATCAAAGCCAGGAAAAATACAATTGTCAAGGCGTCCAAATTTGGCGTTGGTGAGCGCGAATTGCAGAAATAACGGCCACAAGTTGACTCTCAGTCAATGTTGTACGAGGTACGATGACGTAACCAAACCCTGGCGCATTGAGGAACGTATTTAGTAAACAGAGAATTGTGCTGTCTCGATCAGTCTTCAAAAAGTACACCAGTAGTCATAAGTGAGCTTGTTTCATCATATCTGATGCTTGCTTCAACATCGTCAAACGCGAAATGTTCCCTATAATAAGGGGTTGGGTACTGATGCGGCTGAGACGCATCACACACAATGCGCGTCATTTCAACTGACTTCACGTTCACATGACTGGCTCAGTGTTATTGGTCACGATGCACATTTCCGTTGAATACTTGATGCATTCCTAAGTTTGCTTGATACATTTCTATCCAATGAAGGCGGAAGACCACCCAAACTGTTTCAAACACCAGTGAGACTGACAGTTATTCACTAACGAGTTTATTCATGCATAAGCAAATCAGCATGGATGTCTTCGGAGGCCAGACATGTCAGCAGTAAAAACCCGTCACACAGAATGGGCAGACGACTCGACTACCAAAAACCGCAACTAGCATAATGAATAGGCGTAATTCAGACAATCAGTTGGCAAGACTCGGAACTGTTGCAACGCTCTTCTGGTAACTGTAGGTCCGTGTAAATCAACCTTCAAAATCACATGCTACAATGGCATCGCGCTTCTCCCGAGCAAACGTCACCAACGTGCACTTCAAAGCGCACGCTCCCGCACCCAACCCGCGCCGCACGATCCGCGTCGAGAACAACGACTGGCGCCCAGCCAGCGCCGCTCGAACCCGCCGCCAGCGTCCGTCAGCGGCAGGAGCCGGACGGCGCGGAGTCGGGGGAACTCCGCCGGTCAGACCGATCATCCCAGCCTCGCCGGGGAACTCCGCCAGAGGAGCGGCACCGGCGCGGCGTCGGCGCCGACGGCCCGTCGCGCCTCGTCAGCCGCGCCGTCAGCGGGGCTGCTGCCGCGGCGGCGTCAGGTGGGCGGCGGCGGCCAGTGGCGGGCGGCGCTCCGCGGTCGGTCCCGGCGGCGAAACACCGTGCACGGTGCGAATGTGGTGCTTGAGGTTGCCCTTGTGGCTGAGCACCTTGGCGCAGACGGGGCAGGTGGTCTCGCCGCGGTGCATGGCCATGTGGTGGTAGTAGGAAGAGACGGCTGTGAAGTGGCGGCCGCACTGCGCGCACCGCAGCTGGCGCGCCGGCGCCAGGCCTGCCGGACACACAGCGGCCACAGTTACGCTCGGTCCGCGGCGCCCGGCGGAGGAGTCGAGCAGGACGCCGCGAGTCCGAGGCGGCACCCTCCAACTGGCACAGATGAGCAAATGGGCCTGTCCTGCACTTGACGCTGTGGTGTCTTTAATTGCCTTTTCAACGATTTAGAGTCGACCTTCAAGATGTCGTAAGGTGCCTTGATGAGGGAGGGTCGAGGAGGATGCTGGCACGGAGGGCACACTACATGGAGATGGCTGAGAAGACTGAAGAATGACATGAGACACCAAGGAACGGATGCAGTTTTAGATGCCACGTCTGGTAAAGTTCAGCGTCCTCACGATGGATTGTACTCGCCATGACAGCTGCGGGGAAATCCATAGGACAAAGTGGAACCGACGAAATCCAAAGAAATTCGGTACCAGCAAGGTGGTAGTAGGAGGAGACGGCGCTTGATCTGTCGGTCTAACCAGCCAGCCCCTGCTGGTGAACACCAAATGTAGCAAGAATGTTGTGAGAGACGTATACCTACCTCCTAGTGATCGAAAAACCACCACTGGCAAGGGGCGAATCCAAAGCACCCCAAGGTGGGTGGCCACGGCTAAGTTGCACTACCCTCAGTTGGATCCGACTTCAGTAACTTGTTCATCTTCATCTGTTTTTGTTGGGTAAGTAGCTCATTATGCGCGATCGATGCCTATTAAGATGCCTAAGATACATAAAAAGATGCAACATCTTTAATGATAGATAAGATATTAGGATTAGCAGACAGATGCACAACAAGTGCATTTCAGTACAGATATCGCTACGCATACAATATTTTCCTTTTCAGTCATTCGGATTCTGAAATCGGTGTACACTGTTCTTTTCATCCGACAAAACACAAATTGCAGGCAACTAAAAATTCCAGTGGGGAAGTGTTGATCGTTTGAATATTATATCATTACAGATCTTGCATTTACACGCGCTCGGGTCGCTGGTTGAATGCGCTGCGCAGAGGTAGAGGGGGGGGGGGGGGGGGGAGTAAGGGTAATATAAATCCTTCGTATCTCAGAAATGAGCTAGAGACATCAACTTCAAAATTCGAAGTCAAATTTACAGCCTAGACGGGGCTCTGTCAACTAAGACGTGCCAAATTTGAGGTACTTATCTAGGACGTGATCTTCCGGAAAGCAAGGTCACATTCCTGATCGGCACTCGAAATGCTCTCAGATCTGCTGACGCAACCAGCTTTAACTTAAGTGCCCCAGAAAAGCAAAATGCTACGGGTCATATCAGATTAGTGACCTTATTCGACCTAAGGACGGTGAAAGTGACCGAAAACTGTTAGTATAATTGCTATGCCCGGATCGGCGCCATCTGCGCCGATTATTACGGCAAGTGATACCCAAGGTGGCACACTTCTCAAAGTAAAGGATTGCTCGAGGTCATTTAGGCCAGTGACCTAACTAACCTTAATAAACTGAGTCATATAACGTTCAGAAGCTATTTTGAAAACCATTCGGGGGACAAATTGACTCCCACCCGACCAACGGTGAGACGTTGTACACGTAACGCCCCAAAACATGAATAGCTACAACACGCATAACATTGAGATGCACGTTTACGTCTCCATCTTGCGTCTATTGCCTAGAAAATCTTGTTCAGCCTTTGGTTTATCGTATCTGACCTTAAAATTTTCCGCGTTTCCGCACAACATTGAAACATTCGGTAGCCTGCAGCTACACCGCGAATTATTTACAACATATATTAGCAGTAGTAAGATCACAACTGACACCTCTTGCCATCCACTCAATGCAACCGAAAATGTAACGCAACGGCTGTCTGAGCCACAGGCAAGGCACTACAACATAACGCAAACGTGAAGTCCACATCTAGGCATTTGGCTGATTTCTAAATGACACGATCCTCAGGCGCAATGAAAGCCCGCATTCTCGTCAGGCATCCGTACACTCGGGTCCAGTTTCTATAGATGCGACGACACCACTAGCAGAAAACAGACACAGGCGGCGATAATTGTCCTCAAATGATCCGTCTGGACAGGGGTCAAGTTTACACAGTTTCTTGGAAAGTAAAGATATTAGTCTAGTTATACGAATATTAGTAAAAAGTATAACATTCGGGTGTTGGGTGAGATCGTAGAGGTCTGCTGGTCAGTAGACTTGAATAAGTGCAACTATGGTCTTCATTCGAGAATTATTCTTTGAAAAATGGCGGCAAAGGAGAGACTAACTTGAATGGCCTGCAAGCTGTTTTGTCATGCATTATTGGTGGACCCAGCCCGTTCGCCCGTTTCTTTATTCGCCCGTTTCTCTATTTGCCATTCGTTGTTCCAAATAACTTTTTCTGAGACTTGACGCGCGTTCGGATGGGGGTCACATTGACCCCCCCCCGAAGGTTTTTTCAGAACAATTTCCAAACGACGAGGGGCAGCCACGCCAAACTTTGTACAGCTGTAGACAAGTGAAGAGCAGATCTTCTGGTACAAAAATTACATGCACCATGTAAGGTCGCTGGTCTATGGCAGGTCAAAGTCAAAGTTGTCGGCGAAGGGAATTTCTAGGGAGTTATTTAATGTAATGCAACAACATAATGTCAGACGAAGCCACACATGTCTGAGATAGTTTCTTAGGCGATGAACCAACTGAATACAAGCAATTCCAGTGACCTAGGACCAGGCATGAAGGCCAGACCGAGGTAAAAACCAGTTTGCTTTTTTACTCGAGAGCTTAGTTTATGGGTAGTTTCTTGTGCTCGTTTCAAATTCATTGACGCCAGGGACCGCAACAGACATGTTTCACAGGCTTTTTAAAGGTCAATGTAGGGCACCGACCCAGGTCAACATCTTGTGTTTAGGAACATAGTGCCTAGCGCAATCCCTAACGCTTATCCAAATGGCAAATGGGGATCAATCTCTTAGGTGTTTGGTTACCTTGCCCTCATAAGTATCAAATAAAGTCCCTGACTTTGATTGGACACCAATGACCCTTTGCTTAGAATGAGTATCTAGTTTCTTGGCGTTTGCATGAGGAGGATTGGGGCGCTTAAGACACCATCTGGAGTTTGACCTTGTTCGACCTTGTGTGACCACAAGGTCATGAACAAGGAACCTCCAATTTTGACACAAGTGAGTTCACGTACAGTGCAACCCACCCTATGAATTTGGTGTTTCCAGCTATCTTAGTTTTTGAGATCTAAGGAGGGGTCAAATCGAGCCGTCGTCCACGCGAAGCCGATATTCAACTGGGCACCCGGCGCGTGTTAAGAAAGCATGATTAACCCGGCATCGAACATTTCTTTGCGACCAAAAAACACGATGTATCCAAGATAGGGCCATATTTCACCAAATGCAGATGCTGCTCAGTGAAGAACACTGCGACAACTTAACGCTGCGTATCTATCTGCACTTCAGTCTGATATTCAGTGAGCTGGCCGTGATTAACGTTTTGCCCAATAATGACGCTTTGTGCGGTTAGGCATGATCCCGCCGCTCAAAGCATCGCCTCAAGAGCATCAACCTGAGATGAAAGGGAAATGATATCAGGTTGTAAACCATTTAATCCAATCAATTTCAAAAGAAACGTTGGCCCTTCTACGTTGCTCGTCTCCAGGCGCCAGGCATATTCCAAGTCTTGCCTTGCTTAACAGCACAGAAATTATTTCTCTGACCACCTTTTATAGTTCACTTCTGTACTGATTGTTGCATTCTTGTGCGGCTGTTGCAGCCTCGTTCAGTAACGCGTAGAAATAAAAGTAGTCAACTATAAAACTATGATTTATTTCTTAACGAACGCCAAGAGCGAAAAGTACTGCGGGACTGGAAACGTTGTGGAGGAGTGCGTTTGCTCTGAAGAACGCATTTATTGCTCAGATAACACGCTCCAATATATTTGGCACTCACAAAAGCCGAAGTCCTTTTGTTGATTGCTTGCTGCAGGCACGTTGCATGCACCCGACAAAATATCCGTTTTGAGAGCCCACAATACACATCGCTGAACATTGCACTGTGCAAAGGAACTGGAGAAAACGACTTTCGGTACGGTGTAAAAACGCGTACCAAATAAGTTCTGTAGTATGCCATTAAATCCAGATAAGTCTCGGCAAAATACCACAGCATAGAACAATCCATAGAACATAAAACATAGAATAAAATCCCCAAAAGTGAAATCCTCCGCAGTCTCGCGTTGAGCGTGTGGCGCCACAAAACTGGCGTCCTGCTTCGATGCTGACACAATGCATCACTTGGCGCGTATGTCGACGCCGTGGATCCTCTTCAAGTGGACCTTAAGGTTGCCCTTCTCTGCGAAGACGTAGCTACAGATTGGGCAGGTCGTCTCGCCGCGGTGGAAGGCCTTGTGGTTGCGGTACGTGGAAGGCGCCGAGAACACCTTGCCACATATGTCACACTGATGGCCAGGTTGCCAGGCGGCACCTGCGGACAGCAGGGCCGTCAGGCTCCAAGCCGCTGGAAACTGGACGAAGCGCTCAAAACGAAAGGCCGGTTACTTGTGATGGTGCGCATGGCAGCAGGAGTATTGACTTCAATATATCCGCGCAGCCACAGATCGTGCAAGTTATTTCATTATACTGTGCGGGGTCTGGGCTTGCCACGATAAATGTAAGCTCAACAGAAGGATGGGTCGGACAATGTGAGCTGTTGGCAAGTTGTAGCTGACTGATTGTGAGATCGGGCTGAAGTCAGCAGCATCCGTTCCAACATTTTTTTAGCAACTGCTTTTCTTGATTGGTTTCAACTTAAATTAAAACATGTCTTCTCAACAACTGGGGGCCTGTGCATTCTGCAGCGCCATTAAAAGGAAGGTTCCACAGTTGAAGATAGTAAAGCACGCATCTGAGGAAATAAGCTCAGGTGTCATTTATTCGTGTACTTAAAGTCAAAGAGTCTGCTCTGGGCAACCCAAGTTCTCTGTTCAGTGAATATGTTCCTCAATACGTAACCATTTGATTGCGCCATCATGCCCTGCACAACACTGATTGAGAACCAGTTGACAGCGGTTAGATCTGCAAATCGTGCCACTCACGTGCCGTGCCAATCACGAATGCCAGCTATGAAAGCATCGACAATTCTATTTTGTTTGGCTTTGATCGCCACATGGCTGGTGAAATGAAATAAAATCGCAGAATTTGCATGACGTCATTATGCATCATGGAAGCCTGGTTGACATTGAACCAGTCTCCCCGAAATAGCCTGCCCATTTTCGCGTGCGTGTAGCTCGAACACTGCATGGTTTTAGGCCTAAAGAAGGACTGGGCTGTGAACGGCATCGAATAATCTCAAAGATGACTGTTTTGGTTCAAACCTTATACAATTGTGAAACACTCCCTTTAACAACGTACCACGCATAACCTATGGTGTGCGAAGACCAAACTTCTACGCACAGGGTGCTGACGTGCAGAAACCTAGTTCCCGGTTTTAGGACACCAGTATTTAATGCAATTTTTCGGTTCGACATATGGCAATCTGCACGAAGCATCCTCACTTTAAATAAAAATTAGAAATACCCATCATTTTCTCCACGACGCTGTTTTTGTATTTAAATAAAAAAAAACACTTCCTTCTGGATTTTGCCGGTGTTGAGCGTGAGTGGTACTCGGAAATTTTTGCCCAGACCCGTTTCTCGACGGCATATATAATATTCAGATTGCCGCTTCTCAAAACTGGCGGAGTGCTCAGCCCAGGGTCAATTAGCCTAAGGTATGCTGATGCATCACGGATTTTGGAGCCGTCCCTAAATGACGTCATGCATCTTAGACCATCTCCACCCTCCCTCCCCTGGTTACGCCGGGTACCCTCCCCATCCTCCACCCCCTCCTTCCCACAGTTACTGTGTTTAGCGTAACGTCCTAAACAAGTGACGTTCGTTTAAATACATAATATAATTCAAATTTGGGCCCTTTAAAATGAACCAAAAATCAACTACACATTACAGTAATCAGCAGATAAACGTCCCTGCCGGGTGGACACTGACGGTCGTTTCCGGGCCTCTATGAATAGAATGGAAGAGTGGCACGTCAAGTAAATGAAACCAAATGTGAAATGTATTTTACCAAAAGGACAAATTCGTTTGCTACTTCACGACGGAAACTCATTTACGTAATGCGTTAGGACAAACCGCAGTTAATTGGGCCTTCGGCTGAATATAAGTATTGGAAAATAAATCTGAGGGCAGAACACGTCACAATATATTCAAGACGACGGTGTCAACAATACAGGTTTCATTCAGTTGACCATGTATTTGATGCGATGTAAACTGCTGCATGTCATCCTATGCTGCGAGGTAAGGCGGCGATAACACATTCGGTTTTGTCAGAGTATGACAACGAATAAAACGATCAAGGAAGATGTTTATAATGCATGTTGTACCAACCAAATTCAGAGTTCATTCCGAAAACGTCTAAATACCTGAACACACAAACATCCTCCCATCGCACCATACCTAGAAACCACGGGAACCACAGCGAAACTCACTACTATTCCATCGCAACGAATTACAAAGGATACTGAACATCCGATTCACGCCAGAATCAGTTTCCCATCAGGACTTTCGGACGCTACCAAGGTAGCATCAGCTCGACGTGCGCAGAAACCATGATGAACGCGCCCGCATCGTCTGCTCACAGGCTAAGCATTTCCCACAATGGCAGCCGGGTGTCACAGCTGGTGCACGGAGCGCAAGTGCGCCTGCAGGTTGAACTTGTTGCTGAACACCTTCAGGCAGACGGTGCATTGTGTCTCGCCGCGGTGGTAGGCTCTGTGGCCACGAAGGGCCGAGGAGGACTTGAACGTACGCCCACATATGTGGCAAGTGGTGCCTGCAACACCAATATGGGGTGAATTCGGTGACAGGATCAGCTTAAATCCTGGAGGGTGACGGTAGTACATCCACCGTATTGACACGAATAGCGATCAGTGCCCAAGTATTTCATAACGATGAAAACATTCCGCTGCATTGTGCACCTGTCATTGGCGCTGCTTCCCTGCATCTTTTTCAGAAAGCGCTGGTACTTGGAGGCACTGGACTATGCAATATCGACGCTGGGAAGCGCCGAATGTGCATTCATCAGGGACGTACCCAACGACATTTTATCTCACAGGCATGCTAGGAGCTGGGTGGTAAACTGATAAGCAAGGAATAATCCGCGTTGCCCACATGGCGGTCTGCGCTGCCTAGCTGTCAGACCAACATGGCGCTGCTGTTGAAGGCAAGGGGGCCAAAGACCAGCATCATGTTTTATATTACAGCGTATCTCCAATCTTGTATCACATTGTCTGACGAATGACAATAATACTCCTACGATGTCAGTTGAATGACAAGATGCAAGATGACACCGAGTAAATATACATGTCTTTATTTCCAAACATTTCAAACACAAGCCAAAAAGCCACAGCGGCGCAACTGTGAATACTTCGCCAAGACGGCGTCAAGTCCGGTCCCATGGGGCCTTCCAGCCAAGGGACCCTCTTCGTGGCTTAGGAGCCCTGTTTGGACCTTGGGGACGTTTTTTATGATTGGGATCCCATTTTCATCCCATCCCTTGGGATCCCTTTTCATGATTTAGAAGCCATGAGGATGCAGTGAATGGCCAAGAAGTACCGGACCCTAAGCAGCAGTGGGAAGAGGAGGCATATTCTGAGGGTTATGGCCCCCAAACCCCAACCTTGGCTGCGCCAATGAGTGAAAAGACATGGCACCATTGCTTTTGTAACGATGATTTGGGTTATAGGGCGCGCTGACTCGACTCACAAAAACAGTCACACGTGCCAAAATTTTACCCCGGTCCAGACCGCACAAATCCCAGCGATGAACTTGCACGTGCCACGGATCACTGTGTGAAGACGGTTGCCCCTGCTCCAATGTTAAAGTCGAGGTTAAACCACCATGAACCAGTTTCTTAGATTGCCAACTTTCATCTGTCTACTGACCCACAATCCTGCACAGGCGATGAGGAATAGACATGCTAGCCTGGTGTCTCATGTCATGCTCGGGACTGCAGGATTCATTTAGTTATGCTCAGCTTATTTACTTACGCCTAGATTCAGAAGAGATACAAGGTTCACAATTACGTACGTCCGTAATTTCTACATCCGTAAGGCTTGCGATGGTGTTACCCGAAGGTGAAAGGAGGGCCTGCATGCGAACTTGTAACCGGGCACAGGTCTGGCTCTGGCCGGCTTCACGCCAAGACCCATGCCTGGTCTGAGGTGGACACGTTACGTCCGAGTCATACCGTGACTGGATTGCTGGCTATGTAGGTAATTTAAACCCACCGTCTCAATTAAGTCGTTCATTTAACAGGCGAATCGGATACCAAATCGGACTTTCCAGCTCGAGGAAACCCTGGATTCGGACTCGGGACAAAGATCCGAGATATCGCGGGTCGATTTCGGATTCGGCCTGATTCTAGAAGCCTGATACTCGGAATTAGCTAGATTTTCAGCAGGTTTCGACCACGGCTGAGGCGCACTTCTCACTAGCAAAGAACGCATGTTGCGAAAAAAGTTTGGTAGGGTACTTATTACACACCAGAAGGTAGACTTGTACCTATTTGGCTAGGATTCGGTTTGGTGGGTTAGGTTTATATTGCTTGGTTTCAGCTGCATCTGTTTGTGTTGGCCTGTTTGAACGGGCTATTGACAACGTTGCGTAATATTTGGCTTTAGCCACTAAAACTCGGTTAAGGTATGCCTGAAATTCAACAGCCACTTCGTCCTGACTTAGCAGCATGCTATGTAGGTCGATGGTTAGTGGTTATGTTTCAGGTTGGACCCAGTTGGATTAGGTGCAAATTTACCCATCTGCAATATCTGTGTGACGATATTTAACCTTGCCAATCGCACTTATCCTTGAGCGAGCATTTTTGTACTGCGCAATTTCGTGAGAAACTGATGATGCTGAGCTCAACGCCTTCGCGCTTGGACATAGGCTTGGCCCAACTTTCACGGACTCAAACTAGACTCGTGAACGGCGGAAGTGATCGGGCTGGGGCTCATACAACGCAACAAGAGTGGGCCCAGGACCATACTGCAGCGGCGTTGACCACACAATTATCCTCTTAGTGGCAGGAAAACATGTCATGACAGATTGTCCTGCCGGCTGTCCCTTTCCAGGTGCGACCCCCTCCGTGTATTCAAGGTGCATGTCTTTCATCCTGACATCATTTAGTGTAGGCGTACAATCGCAGCATGGATGTTCATCGATGTATGACGTTTGGTATGATATATATATATATATATATATATATATATATATATATTAATATATACACATGAATTTCAGAGAACAGCAAACCGGATGCCGCAGGGAGCCCCTCAGCCCTCTGTGACAGCCAAAACGGATACAGGGTAGATGCGGAGCGCGGACCTAGTCAGCTCCCCTACACACCTGATCGCTTGAGAACCGGCCGTCCTAGCCTGAGTATCGGTCTAGGCTTAAGTAGGTATACAATGTAAGTATAATATAAGCACGTATGGAGTTATCTGTGTCGTGAAACGGAAGGCTCATGCACGCTCAATGATGTCCGCCGGGCTCAAGGGCACAGCACCAGCCCGCAGCAGAGGCTTCATCAACTGACTGAAGCGAAGCAATGCGATTAGGAATACATAAAACAGCGTGACGTCCGAGATAATATCACCAAACAATGGGTGCGATATCTAGCGTACAAGCGTACTCTAGTGAAACCCAAGGACTGGTTACGTCTTAAAATAACACTTGTACTGCCATCGCAGCACCATCAAGACATAAAAGGGATATGGATTTTATTCATTTTCGAGTTCGAACTATGCTGTCAACGCCTTGTAACAGCACTACGCTTCTTACAGTCGCTATCATCGTCGGCATGACAACCAACGTGCGCATCTCCACTGGTGCAAATGGAAAAAAATGTAATTAGCATAGCGGGTAAGGACTTGCTACCGAGAAGTTGGTCGGCTGAAGCTTGAGCCAGTGCGTCACATGGATATTGTGATACTCACATTCCCAAAGCCAAAGTGCGCCTCGAAAACTGATACTGTGATAAACTTCACAGACGGGGAGAAATCAAAGCGATAAAATATGTTTCGCTGAATTCGCGGCATAACAGCTTCTTGCTCGCATATCTTCTTGGCTAAACAGTGTTTCACGCTTTCGTAGCATTTATTACCAAACATTTTAACACTTCAAAATGTTGCAAACATCACAGAACACACACATTGGGAAAGCAACGCAAATGAAACGTACGACTTTCACAGTGGTGAGCGGGGAGTCAAGTGAGATTTCTCCCTCAGGATCGGCTACATCAAATCGGAATTCTGAGCCATTCAGAAGGATTTCGAGAAAACTAGCACTGCTAATCAAATCGTACGCGTCCGGTGTAACAATAAATCAAAAGTATAAAAAGGTGGGACACCCCCTTTAACCTTCACTCCCAGCCAATCCACCAAAGCACTGAGTTCAAATAGCGCGTGGTATCTGCACCATGAACAACGCATCACACATAGTTTCAACTGCCGACAAGGGCCCCTGCCAAATCCATCACGATCTGGCTTTGTCATCTCCGACCTCACAACAATACCTGCCACCGCACCAGACAGACGAGCAACCGCATAATGTCAAGCGAGACCATCTGAAGGCTGCGTTCCATCGGCGCTCCGCATCACGCGAGATCATTTGGAGGCGACCCTCTTCGCCACGGGGACTATCGCCATGGTCCATCGTCAGCACCACGAGCCGCGCGCGCTGACCTAGTGCGCGCTGCTGTGCACGAACCGTTCGTGCGCCTGCAAGTTGAACTTGGTGCTGAACACCTTCTGGCAAAGGGTGCACCACGTCTCGCCGCGATGCACGGCCCGGTGTCGGATCAGCGACTTGCGCAGCGAGAACGACTTGTCGCACTGGTCACAACTCCACGGCTGGTCGCCACGCATCTCTGCAAGGGTTCAGAGGCGTCAGTCTCCGAGATGGCCGCGCCAGTCGTGGAGCGGGGCGCCGGGGCGAGCCGAGGAGCTCGCATGTGAGAGGGCTCAGGACCTAAAGATGGGCCTGGAGTCGTAATCGTGCGATTACTGAATCGCGATTGTGCAAATTATTTGCAGACTCAGTTGTAGTGTTGACGTTCGTCGCAGTGACGAAAAGTCACATCATGGGCTACAATACCACAGTTGCTTTTTAGGTGGCCTAATCCACCCTCCCCGCCCCGGTGCCCCGGTAGATCTTGTTCATACATAGATGGTTCCGAGATGGCTATAATCGGGATGGTTTCGGTGATGCGGGCCACGCTGGTATTGCCAATCAACTCTCATTCTGGCCCAAGATAGCGACCTCGGGATGCCGATGAGCCCATGCCAAGGGACACACAATACTCAGGTCATGTTTTACCAATATCTTTGGAGAAATGACACATTCGCACACGTCCATCACTATGACATAGAGTCATTACTTATGCGTTGCCAACTATCAGAAAAATAGACAGCTAATATAAGCCGTGCACATCAACTCAATCATAAAACATCGCAAGAAATCCGCACACGCATATACCGTTATCAGAAAATGAACTACATTTGAATACAATCGCCCACCATGCCCTTAAAATTGTCATCACAAATTCGTTTCAACAACGCTTTTCCCGCGTTCACGTCGGGTCCGCGGATCAGCCCCTTGTCGTGTCACAGACCTTCCCTGTGCTCAAGGACACTCTTCCCTTAAACACTTCAGTCAGTCGCCACGGCCTTGATTTTCTGCAGAATGACTAAACTGCACATGCCGTTTCATATGACCCTTCGACGCAAACACTTTTTGACACACTGGACACGTGGTTTCGCCCCGGTGCAGGGCTCTGTGTCCACGGAGTGTCGATTGCGACTTGAAGACCCGGTTGCAGATATGACACCATATTTCTGGGTACGAGAGCCGACCTGGAAGATCAGGTCACATGGGTAAAAATAGTGGAGGGCGCATGAACTTAAGAAACGACAGCTCGCAGTACGTCAACGTTATCGTAAGCATAGAACATTCATCTTCCACCTCAGAAAATCTGCAGAATCAACTGCTATTTTTCAGTGAATTCCGAGCCTGGAAATATCCTGGACTGTCTTTTATCGGCAAGCACCGGTCTTGCCACCTGTTATAGGTTTAACAAAACGCACGAAGACCCGCGCCATTCATGACAGTTGTGCCATCTTAAAACGCGAACGCACTTTTGGGGGTTGCAAAATATTTACTCGCACGCACAAAGATAAATACACTATGCATATATCGTACCTTAAAAGGCAGAGGCGGCCGTAATAACGGTTCCAACAAATCGAACACCGCAAGCGCGTCGCAGATGGCGACCCAACGACGCACAACAGTCAGTGTTATTATGGTTAGGTCCCCCACCACCCACGCTGACCAACGGCCCTCTTCGGAACAGCTTTACATGGCGACTAAGCCAAGACCAGTCAGTCAGTCCTGAGACGTAGCACTTTGGTGTGCCTCCTACGGAGGAAACATATTTTTCGTTTTTACGATTACATGCAATGACATGTCCCTTCAAACCGACCTATCTAAACAGCTGAAGGCCTGTACAGTCAACATTACATATCGTCCACGAGCCACTGGGTTGTCGTTGGCTGACACAGACCCCAGCGCTAAACGCTGACTTCTTGTTAGCAGGCCTCTGGCAAACAGTACAGCATATCTCGTTGAGGTTCTCCATGCCAAAACAGAATCCACGCTATCCACTGTAGCCACCAATTTCGCCGCAGAGGGTAGTCTGACGATGATGCTTCTTGTTCCCCGTAGTTGCCAACACCTTGAGACAAACTGGGCGGGTGGCCTCAACCCGTAGCAAGACTATGTCCAAGGAGAGTTGACTGTGACATGAAGACCCGGTTGCAGATTTGACGACATATATCAGGGCGTGCGTACGGACCTTAAGTATGAGATTATAACGGTAAAGTCCGTTCTCAATGAAAACATAGTTGACACCCGAGGGATGTCTGGCGGCTTGGATTTTGGGTCCTTGTGCAACGCCCAGATTTGAAGGGAGAAGGCGCTGAGGCACCTCGACACTTGTACGACGCCACGGTTGCTGGCGAGCCTTAAAACATGTCCCTATAGGTATTCAGTTCAGTCTCACGAGGATGGGATGCCAGAGGCAACACCCCACGTTTTGCTAATCATTTCACCTATGGTGTTACATGGCACACGCGCCTTTAAAGCCCGCAAGTCCCAACAAATTCTAACTAAGATTTTCTACGAACACCTGGTGACGCGTAAGTGGGGTCCGTTGTAAAATAAGCACCCAATCAAGAATATGGGTCGTAGGGCGCTAAAATTTGTCAAAAGTAGGCGTCTTCCCGGATCCAAAAGTCGTCTCAGAAACCAATGGCACTTCAGAACCAATATACTATTAACACCCATTTCCTTGAAACCCCACACCACCAAAGGCGAGAGCCACACTCAACACAACGGCTGTGCTTTGGAGTCGTAAGGCGCAATTAAGTGCTCTGGCGCGTGCAAGGACGAGGGGGTGGGGGAATTGGATACGGCCTCCAGAGCGTAACCGTTCCAGCTGTAACAAGTGATTGTGAAGCATGCAGGCCGCGCGAGAGGCGTGGTTCTCACTGAAACGTTCTGGCGAGCTGATCCCGGTCGCTAGCACGGTTTGTTCTGGACCACCAAGCGACTACCGGCTTGGTGGTCCAGAATACATTGCTACTTCAAGCCATTTTGATGGGGGAGCCGGGGACTCGGGGTCGTCTCTGCCTGCGAGGACGGAAAATTCCGACTGACGGCAAAAAGGCAGGCAGTGGATGACGTCAAAATGTATGCTAATTGTAATACGCTCACGCTGCCCAGCTCAGTCCAGATCCAGACTACTGTATTATGCTATCCACATCTCAATATTTCTTTTAAAAAATCGGCGTGGTTGTAATGTTTGTGCTTTTACTCTTGGCGCTTGCCCGTCAAAAAGAACCCAGCAGCAGTGGCCCGTATATTGTCTCATCACACAGCATATGGTCATAGCACAACTGAACACAGGAAACAAACGTGGCCAGGGTGGTCTTAGAGCCAGGTGCTTATGCACAACAATGCCGGCATGCAGTGCACAGGTTGATTCATTGTGTTCACTCAACTGTCTGATGTGTCCAGTCTTAAGGAGGCGGTAAAGCGTTGGATCTTCACGGTGATATCCGCTGGGTTCAAGGTGAACATCAAGGCATCATTCACAACCGGCCCGCTTCGTTGCAGGTGACCGTATCATGAACCACTTCTACGCGAGTTCGCGTGATAATGCGTCCGAGCGCGGCAGTCATTGCCAATCGGCTTATATCACCTACAGTTATCGGTTACAGGGATAGCATCGATATGATACAGCAAGGCAGGCGTGAATTCCATCCACCACGAAATCTTCTTATTGAGTTCCGCAGTCACACACAACGTGTCAGTGAAACCTAATGTCCTATTGGGTATCGCCGCAGGCCAACATCTGCACTTTCGGCCAGCGCCGGAAAAAATCCATTAAATCGGTCTTTTAGTTTTGAATTGCTGCCAGGGTCTGGTAATTCTGACGTCGTCAGGGATAACACATCAACGTACTCCAGACAAGGCCCCGGTTGGCATCAGAGCACGGGAAGGCACGTGAGGAAGTAACGCTTGACAAGATCCGCTGGCGACATTCGCGAAACAACGCAAAGGTGCAGCATGACCTGCGGGGAATTCCACTCACGTGGGTGCATACAAGCAGCACATTGTAACTTATAACCGACGGTCCTAACCGTTGGCAGTTGCGGTACATCGCGAACAGCATGTCTCTGCGTTACCTCCAAAGAGATGCCCACGGCAGCCATATTGTCACCTTCGCCGTCGGCCACTTCACCTCTTATGGCAGGGTCTTTGCACCTGGCCGCTGATTGGAACGGATTTTATAGTGCATATTACGGACGTGCTGTTCCATGGAACTCTTGGCGGTAAAGACTTTGTAACAGATGTGACACGTAGTCTGGCCCCGGTGCACGGCTCTATGTCCACGAAGTGTCGACTGGGACCTGAAGACCATCCCGCAGATAGGACAGCGAATTTCTGGTATCGATACCTGACCTGAAAAGTCGGACATCAGAGTAAATAGACGGTCCGGAAGCCGACTGCTTCTGTATTTGCCTATTTGCGGAATCAAATGACTGCCTGTCCACAAAATCACAGCATCGTAAAGGTTCCGTGGCATTCCTCAACTAGTTTCTTCAATATTAAACACTGAGCAAGACCGTATATCAATGCTCCACAACATCTAGAAGCCAAGTTTCCAACTTCATTGGTCCTTTCGGAAATGGGGCGGGTTATCGCATGACGCCATATGATATTTTCTGATCACTAACGGGTGACAACTACGAAATTGGTCCAGTCTCCCATACGCTTCATTGCGGCAGAATTCCTCATGCTTCACTATCTTTTTGACAAGCTATAGGAACCACAATGTACAGCACAAGTGCGGAAAAATCTGCTTCCTAGCCATCAAACGTAGTCACCACGGCATTATCAGCTGAGCAGGTTGCTCGAGCCTTGGTGGTGGAGATCGCCAAAAACTATCCATCATTGCCGGACATGTAAAAATAAGGGAAACCGTTCATCAATATGGACAGAAGCAAAAGGAAGGACCTGGTACGAGTCATGAAGCACAAGGTGGGCCAGTCACAACATTTATTGGTTCGCAGTCTACATAAGTGAACTGTATGCCAACCAACTACCGAAACGGGCTCAAGTTCAGTAAACGAAAGAGAAAAAGGCCGCGGAGATATCCCTGGTGACACGGTGATCTGGGAGAACCCAATCCAGATTGGAAGAGAATTGTCCAAAATGGTGACAAAGAGCACATCAAAAGCCACGCAGCGAAGCCGATCGGTCTCAGCTGCGACCGATGGAAGACTTCTGGGGTGTGATGGATCAGCCGGTGTGTGAGAGGGCTAGGTGGCACACGATGACCGGCACCTGCGCCGCCACATCCAGTAGACAAGAGAGATTTGTGAGGAAGTTCCGCGGCAGATGAAGCGGGAGGTGTCGCGGTGCAGGCACATAACTGCGCACACGTCTTGCAAAGTGTGGTGCCCTCCACAGCAGAGGAAGAGCCAGCGACTGTAGCAATTTTACGATCCAGTGAAGTGAAAATGCTTCAGTTTGCTCCCGGTCCAATGAAATGCTTCCGTTTCAGTCCTAAAAACAATTCCGAAGCTCAGCAGATCGTACGAAAGCAATGCCCTTTTTTGTAAGCAATCGTTCCCCGCTATTTAAGGTGTATTGACATTTTAATCAAACCAATGGACACAGTAATGGCGATGCATCAAACATGTCATTCACCGAGGTACGCACGCAAGTAACAAAATGACGCCATGCACCAGGTACGATGGAGACAACAGTCGTTAATGGATCTTTTATCTTGACCGATGACGGTGTGATTGAGTACGCTAGCTCCAACAAAGCATCCCGAAATTGATGGCTCGCTGCGTCCGCTCCAACAAACCAGCACACCCTACACACACTACGTTATGCACCACGCAGGACAATAGCAGTGCTGCCGACTTCCCGACACCAGCCCACACACGACCACCCGACCTCGCACCACGCGTCGCCACCACCAGCACCAGTCACCGCTCCCGGCCCCGGGCCGCGTCCTGTCGCGTCACTTGGAGCCGCTGTGCACGCAGCGCAGGTGCATCTGCAGGTTGAACTTGGTGCTGAACACCTTGCTGCAGATGGGGCAGCGCGTCTCGCCGCGGTGCACGGCGCGGTGTCGCGTCAGCGACTCGCGCAGCGTAAACGCCTTGTCGCACTGGTCACAGGGCCACACCAGCTGACCGTCCCGCAACGTCGCCACTGAAACACGCAGCAGCGATCGGCCCACCTGTCACGTCACGTACCTGTATTGCATTTCAGACCATAGCACACTGTAAATGCAAAGGATCTGGGCTGGCAATCTTGGGGGCTACGTTTTGGTAGTTTTCACCCGGTGCTTGTCAAAGCTGACATTGTTTTTCTCGCGCAAACGTCAGGGGCTCGTAGAACAAGGACCCTTACGCAATGATTTTCGGTTTGTAACACTCATCTATCCATGTCTCTCATCATCTGTATCTGAGAGCAAGAAAGCAGATAGTTGCGGTCAGCGCGCATAAGCGTGTTCTTAGAAGCCAGCAAATAGAGCTACGCTAATATCTTCAGCCGCTGTTGCAGTTCGCCGTGACCTTCACAGCGGACGAACAGAAGTAATTCAGAAACAGTGCACAAGCGCAACAAGCTTAAGATAAACGTGACATCACACAAATGCCTAAAACTCAGGTCTTACCTACCGCCCTAAGAACTCAGACACAGAGATCCAAAAGTTCCGCGGGCATAGGTATGACATTCGAAGTGTAAAATACTCCCGTGTTGTTAGCCGTCACGCATGCTGGTACAATGAGCTGCGGTTAATGTTCCTAAATGCTTCTACTTATCTTCAGCTCTCAGATACCAAATAATACGGAATGTCCGAAGCAGAAAACGAGATTCCCCTGATCACGGGTGTTTCTGAAAGCACATAAAGGTGTTTCGAGCTTATCGTCAGATTTATTTTCAGTCAGGTCGGGAAGGGGGACGTATACATGTGCGATAACGAAAACAATGACCACGAATATGCAAATAATAACCCTAAGAACACTCAATGAAATGCCATGCGGGGCCTTAGCACGGACAACTGGCTTTGCAATGGACGAAACACACAAATCATGACCATGAGTATACAACTGAACGCCGTTTTCGTCCCTACCATATACCACTACACCAAGAGTAGCATCACAACCATCAAGGACATTGGGCATCCCGTCTTGCATCTCACTGGAGAGAATGTGACACCGAATCTAAACAAGTGTCAGGAAACTAGACACGCCTACATACACATGAAAAGCATCGCTAACCAGCGGAATATATGGCGGTCGATTACCTATTACGCAATCTCTATGGGAGACAAAATGTCTCACATCGGCCGCCGCCGGACATCCTCGTGTTGTTCATGGGCGCTTCAAATAGCCAGTCCGCCACCTACGCGACACTGCTGTGAACACCGCTTTATGACTCAGGTCGGATTTCATGGCCATAACGCCAGTATGCAGCTCCTCATGCCGACAGTGGTGGCACGGGGTCGCGGTGTAAGATATCCCCATTACTGTCTTCTTTTTTTTTACCCAACTCGGGTTACAGGAATGATGCATTGCATTGAGTTTTGGCTCGCATGACTCGTCAAATTCATCTTGAAGTATTAAATCAATGTAATGTAGCCAACAACTATACAAGCAGATTTCCACTAGACAGAGAAGGTGCAGACTGGTGAGTGCGTGAATCTATATAATGTTACGCTCGCACAACTCTGTTGAAAGAGGTCACTACATGTGCGCTGGTCAAAATCACATTCCTGATCATATGAATCCCCTGAAACAATACATCTGCTGCTTAGGTACGCCTTTCGACTTCAATTACAGTTTTTGCCCCTTCTTTCCCACTCCACACGGTGAACGCCAATCAAATGCCTCTTCAAAACTTGCTTCTGACTGTAGATCATGTCACAAAAAGGACATGTGGTTTCACCACGGTGCTACCGCCAGATGATCCCGATAGGAGGAGGGGTTATTAAAACTGCGCCCACAAACGTCGCACAGCTTGCCGGCATACCACCTTCTTCCTGCAAGAAGACACAGTGTGTTACTGTACTAAAATTACAATTGATACGTTGGGCTTATCACATGTACAAATCATCCGATCCTTGTCTCTCAAATGCTTACGCAACATACTGACCATGTCAGCACATCACAATTTCACATTTACAAGCTTCTGCATTCATATTACAAACATATCCTTTTTACTTGCGTTAAACCCGCGTTTCTGCAAAATCAAGGCAGTTGCATTACAGGTAAATGATGAGCAGGAGCGTACCTTTGGTACCACTTCCAACGTCCATCGAGCACAATTAAGTTGCATGCGTTGAGTAAACCAAACTCGGCTTTCATTTCAATACGACCCGTTTGGATAGGGGAGGGGGCAGTTTCCCCCACAGGCCTAAAATATTAACAGGACTAAATTTACAAGGTAGGTAGGGATCTATGTGAACTATTTGCGCCATATTTTGGGGTCAATAGGTCGTGAACTTCTGGTCATATCAGGTTAAACAAGGTCAAACTCCAGATCGCTGCCAGAAAAACCCCCATACCACCTCACGCTACGAAGGTTGACCTAGATCGGTCTTTTACAAAATGTCAGTGTTCAAATCAGTGGCCAATTAACTTATTTGGCCTTGCCATGGGTCAAAATGACCAAGAACCTTCGAGATTGTCGTGATACACACATCACCATGCAATATCCCTGGAAACAACATTTAACCACAGCACCACGCAATATCCCTGGGAGCACGCTCCTCAAGGCACGAGGTTAATTGAGTTAATTTCAAGTTGGTAACCACGTCTGACCTTCATGGAGCCATAAGAAAAATCCAATGACTTCTCTGCGATTAAGGAATTCAAAAAGGGCGTTAAAAAGAAGCCCACTGCGCAAACTTTTCCAGCATGCAAAAGGTTCGAATTTGATCTTGGCTTTTAGCCTGGTCCAAAGTCAATGAACATGGCCGTTAACCTAATAGCAGTTGCCGAACTGCCTACAAAACCATCCCAAAGTTTAATGGCTTTGTATAACACCCCGATGTCGCATCATATTTAACGATTCCAAATGGAATGTCTTTACTGACACGCACGACACGATTTTGACTTGCTTCAAGTCAGCGACCTAACGAGATCCGTCGAATTTATACACCAAAAGATCGGTTACTCAACCGTCTTCAATCATACAAAATTAGCGCGGCTACGACGCGCCGTTCGGAAGTTATTCTGAAAAACCTTCGTGGGAGGATGATTGACCTCCAGCGCGTGTAACACACCGCTCTCATCCCTTTATGGTAGCACACTTCGAATGCACTCTACCGACTCTTATTCTAAATTTCACCCAATGCCTACAGTTACAATTTTTACACAGCTATTACAACTTAACGTGTCGTGCCAGTGCCATAGCTGTACGTACATGTGTTACAACATCCAGGGGATACCCGTCGTATAGCAGGTAAACTAAGCACATTAAAATGCTACTTACAGCTTACATGCAAAGAAAAAACTACAGTTTAATCGGAGTGAATGTGCCAAAACCTCACCTAACCCAGATCGGTCTGATGTACAGTTTTCAGGTGCCTTCGCAGGCCAAGCTTCTGACCGAACACCCTATTACACAGACGGCACGTTGTTTCCCCGCGGTGCAGTGCTTGGTGTTGCTGAAAGGTCGACAGAGCGAAGAAAGGGCGGTGGCATATAGTGCATCTCTTGCCCGGGAACCATCTAGTACCTGAAAATACGATACCGATTGGTGGATCGAAGCGCCGATTAAAGTACTCGGACACACTGAAAGCAAATTCAGCAAACAACGAAAATCGTCCTACTTACAAGTCGGTCGCCGCGGCAAGAGGGCGGTCTTAGTTGTTTGTCAGGTTCCAGTCGTCAACGAGACGTAGCGACGTGATGCAGTAAAATATGCCGCCGATTTACACCACAGAACACCGCAGGTCCTTATCTAATTGGGAACTCCATTAAGTTAACAGGCACTGCAATGATCTTTTTACAGCAGAAATGGGTACACGTCGCAAGCCATCGTTGCGTCAGTTTTCCCGTATCATTAAGACCGGCAGTGCGTCGAAGACAACATGGACTGACATCGAGAGGCTACAAAGCAAGGAACCTAAATTCGTTCCCTTACAAGGATAGAATAAGAAGCAGTACAAAGACCCAGACCACGCACACCCTACCACATAAGGAGCACCTGTGAGGAAGGGCCTCTACCGCGCGAGGTACCGCCCAGGGCTGGATTCCAACCCTGTAGCTTTCAAACACCTCTCAAAAACAATGTATTCAAACATTGTGGTAGAAGTGGTAGAATGTCGAATTATATGGTAGTCAACCAGATTAAAACTGGGACAGACATAGGCAGACACAACCTTCACTCGCCAGTTCTAACCAGTCAATCGCAACACGCGATACAGAACTAGAAGGCTTTACATGGCACCTTACAGGGACTGCTCCACGTTCGGATATATTGAGACAAACATCAGATATGGTGGAACAAGCTTCTTCGTTACCGTTGATCGCTTCTGTGTAAAAAACGGCTCTAAATTAAATTTCACTAATTGGTAAATGTAATCCTCAATATGTCGATCATTTGATTACGTCACAGAACGTCGAGACATGAGCAATCAGCAATCAGCAGCGCAAGACGACTGTTAGCCAAGTGCTGTCTATCGTTGGTACACGTGGTGCTGCATCACCTCAAACACGAATATTGAAATGAATGTTTCCCATTGGAAGATATCGAGCCAAACATATAGGATTGATGAAATAAGCTCATTGGTATGCTTTTAAAAGAAGGCTGCACTAGACAACACAATTTCTCTGCTCAGTACATATACTTTTAAAAACTTCGCTGCTCGACTGTATCATCGTCCCTTACACAATATTGATTGCGAGCTAATTGACGGCTATTATATCTGGAAATCGTGCTCACGAACGACAGATATGAGCGACTCGACGATTATAATTGTCTTGATCTTGATGGCGATGGATAGAATCCGATAGGACGGCAAAATTTGAATGAAATCTTGACAACATGAATGCCTGGGTGACCTTGAAAAAGTCTGTACGAAATAAGTCTGTACATCTCGGCAGGCGTGTAGCTCAGGAACTAGTGCGGCTTAGGTCTTAAGAAAGACCGGGCTGTGAACTGCATCGATTGATCTTGAAGATGGCCATTTCTGTTCAAAT